ATGATTTCGACACTTGTAGACAATTGCTTTGGATGGTGAAAAAAGAATCCAATTGAATGACAACGACTGATCTACAAATGTTTACATTTCTTGTGGTTAACAGATGAGCTCTCACAATTTCAATCTGACACCATGACAGTCATCAATTACATATTAAATTAAACGTCACTACTTATACAACAGAAAATACTGTAAGTTTAAAAAAAGCAACTTGATTAGCTCAATTTCATTTAGGCATTTTCGACTTCTTGAGAGAACCTCAGACACAAATATTAAGTTCTCCTAATTAAAATCATCATTGTATGACAAGTTATCATAAACTGAAAACTACGGAGAAATTGTTTCAATGTAATTTATCCTGAATAATATATAAAAGCTTTGACACTGAGATTCCTCCATTGAAATATTATTCTTCCATTAGTATAATGATTATGATGATTTATTCAAAATGCTTACATGGTTTCAAATAAAAGCAGATTATTTACTGATGCATAATCTAGTGGTTTTCGAAAATCAGAGAAATTCAACGACACTGAAGTTCACTTAGTAGTATATTTTTAATAAGTTTTAGTAGATGAGTTTGGCAGATTAGTTACTTTATAAGTTCCTTATAAGTTTGATTTTTAAGTCATTTGATGATCTCATACTGATATTAGGACACACGAAATTCATCTATATAAAGATCACTCACTAAGTTACTTAACCATCGATGAGGATTCCATAAACAGCTCCATCCTAGACACTCCATTCCAGTTGCTATCCATTCCTTTGATGTTTGCCTCGAATTCTCGGCGCAATGTGTTCTTTGGTCAAACTCTAAAACTCATAGGTGCAAAACTATATCATACAGTACATAATAGATTTAGATAGGTATATACTACATTCGGGGGTAAATAGATACATATGAAACTACTTGTGAATCAATAGCTTAATGAATTCAAACGGAATTACGTGTATACTCGATTACTAAACAATCTCCAGAGTTGCACTCTTACCATATCTTTTTTAATAATAAAAGTTTCTGTAGCAATCTGGAAGACTTTCCTGGTCTTCCACATTGTATGAACATTCCATGTACCTAAATTAATGGTTGCTCTGATTGTTAGAAGGGGCATCAGACTCGTGACTTCCGAAGGAACTCGATTTTCATCATCAGGTGTCATAACTCTTCTAAATGAAGACGTTCTAACTCCTAGGGCAGAGTTTAAGTGGTTTGAATTATTTTTTCCGTTTAGCGTTTTTTAGCGAGTTAGTTTCATATGGGGTGTAGTCGCTAACCCCAAGTCCAACCCTCCACATTTATCCGGACTTGGGACCGGCAGTAGCTCAAGAGGAGCTCCACGCAAAGTTCTACCCATAAAGTACAATAATCACAATTTAAAGTTTGTTTAATGGTAATTTATGTGATTTATTTTTTCTTACATATAATCAAGGTAAAAGTATGGTTTCAAAATCGTAGAATGAAAACAAAAAAATCGAAAACTCTATCATATTCCAACGATGAAAAGACTTTACAACAAAATGATGACAATAGTAAAATTAATTTTAGTGAACTACAATATTCAACATTATTTGATAAACAAAAATTTATCAGAACAGCTAATCAATGGAATGATAATATCTCTACAAATTCTGTTACATCATGTATCCTTGATTATGATTCTTTTGTTAATATGACTTAAAAATATAATTGAATTTAACAACAACAACAAAATCACCTTCAGAATTATTATTGTTCCTGATGGTGATTATGATAAACACACCAAGATCATCATGTTGATCAATGTTGAAATCAGTGACTATTAACAAACTAAAGAAAAAATAGTCCAATAAACCACTGAACATTTAAGTCAAAAAATTATTCAACTTTAAAACTTCAATCTATTTTTTTACATTCTTGTAACTACGTAATAAATAACAAAATACTTTAGTCTCTTGATACAATACAACAATGAAAACACGAATAGATTATAAAATTGTACACCATTGTTCATTATTTGTAATGATAATAGTAGTTTAAAAGAAAACATAACAAGAATGAAAATTTTCCATGGAAATTCAAAGTGGTATCATTAAAGTGAAGTCACTATGTCTGTTCAGCTATTGGAGTTCAAATTACTCATCTATTGTAATGTAAAAGAAAACATTTGAGATCCATAGCAATTCATTACTGACCAAATATTTCAGATGATGAATTCTCTAAATATATAATAACAATAATAATATTATTATTATGAACCAGTTGATAGTATTGCTTGTGTACTAAACAGTTCTCAATTTCTAAGTGAGAAACAATGTTGCTTTATACTTATTTTTTTTTAATAATAAATATAATACAAATATACTGAATAATAATGACAATTATCGTAATGTATAATTTGAATAAATTATTGATTTGTATTACTCTCATTCTCTCTCCATCATCATTCTACTGATCTAAAAATAAACTTATAAGGATATTTACAAGAAAACACTCGGTTAAAACAATATCGTGTGGTTATATATTGATGTTAATGAAGAACTAAGAAAAAGGGTTATTCAATATGATAGAAAAAAAGAACTCGATCATTTGGATAAGACCCAATAGAAGTTAAAAAGTGACACTAAATTCAACGGAATAATATGTGTTATTGATAAGTGGTTTACTAGAAATTAATTCCATCGATACTTGTGATGAGATACAGTTCAAAATCTTGATTTCGGTTGTGCCATTTCAAAATTTATTAAATGTTTGCGGATAATATCGATTCGCAATTTTTTTTAGGTGTCCTGAATACTTTAGAGACTCGAGAAAACTGCTTTGCTATTGAGTCTACTTCTGTTTGTTACACAATAACTCCAATCTTAACATTTGTTTGTCAGAGCACATCAAATCATTTGACTTATCTAATACTATAACAAGTATGTCTTTGTTAATCTAGGCACTAAATTTGTACATGGTGAATAACAAGCCTTGTACAGTCCCCACCTGTTTAGATCAGATTATTTGTATTAGACAGATAGTTCATTTACTTTCTTTAATTTCACCGTTTATTGAAATGAATCAGTTATTACATATATGAATCCCATTGGTTTTATTTAAAGACTTTTCACAACACCAAACATTCCACAATTAGGATCCCACTACATAGTTCGTGATTGGCTAACGTATTAACGATAACATATTGAATATTAAGTTTTTAAAAATCTGGACGTTATTCTTAAGAAAGTATTTTGAGTATATCCTGTATACAATTTTTACCGTATATAACAATTAACTTAGAACATGAGTTATTCGACAGAAAGCGACGGATAAACCCCTTCACATTTGCAATAAAGTCAGATACACTGAACAATGGAAGAGATTTAATAACTCAAAATGCCTTGTTCAACCTTAATCACGAAGTTCGACAAAGCTATACAGCTCACTTCTGGTTTCATCATCTTTTCACATCATGAAATATGTTCGTATTTTCAAGTGCCATCATAACTATTTATTGATAGTATCAATACATGAAAGTTGACTCATCTTGAACGGATTAATATCTAAACGATTCAAAAATTAGTGAAGTGCCAAATCATGAATACTGGGAAATTCACTAATACCCTCACTATTATGTGAAAACAATTAATTAATCAATATGCAAACTAATCGGGTATTATAATTTATGAACGTTAAGAAAAATAATTCATGATAATCCTATTTATCTTGAACCTATGATCAAAGTATGTAGACGTGAACAATTCCCATCGAAGGGTTTACTTTACTTAGTTGAAAAAAGCTTTCAATAATTATATATTTTGACCAATATCTGATAACATCTTATGTTGCACCATCTCCATGACTCCAAACAGAAGCCAGTCATGTATAACTTCCTTTTATACCACGACATGCGCTGACCACCTCTCCGTTTTCCCCAACTATTGCTGGGGTTGATAAGTAAGGCACGATGTGGAATTAGCTGAGACGACATTCGTAGTATATAACCAACCACCGAAGCCGGCATTTCAAAATGTTGACACCAATCGAATTATTGTCAGTGCTCGAACATATATTGCCAAACTTCTGCATAATAACCTGGTGTTGCCACTGTCAGCGATCCTTCAAAGACAACGATAATCAAACACAGAGTCGTTCACCACTCTCAACTCGGAGGTCAGGTTTCATAAGGTTAGAGCAAGACTGCTCTAACCGACGCATTGTAAATCTGACCTTTTACAGCCAGGGTAACATCATAAAGGCGTCAAGGATGAACCAGATTGGCATAGGTAGCTCTGGTTTTCGTTGTAAATTCACCTCTTCAACACCATCACCAGGACTTAAATACCTATCCAAATAAATGAACTCGACTACTCCTAACTGCTCACTAGCAAGAATAAATGCAAACACAACCTCCTACTAATCTTGCAAAAGTACTTTGGATGTAGGGGTAAAGCACACGCTATACCTTTGAACACTAGCTGCTAAATGAACATGTGCGTATTGTATAGCTTGAATATGGTCTGGAGTGATTATTATGTAAACCTTAGACAGTTACTTATCTCAGATCAAGAAATCACAATAAGGTTTGATCCAATCTTTTACATAGCCTTCAAGTGGAATTGGGCAAACACTTAGTCCACCCACTAAAACAAGACAGAAAGTCGATAAGTAATTACTGAATCATTCGATTACATTTACTAACAAAGTGCACAACACCCTATTTCATTATGTATATTTATTATTGATTAGTTCTTCAGAGAAAATTCGGCAAGTTATTTACACCTGACTACCAGTATATGCCAGAAATATCTTGAAAACAGTAACATTAGATACCGATGCATTAAGATTTAATTGATTGTTGGTTTCATTATTCTGGTTTGCTTATAATCACACAAAATTTAATAAAGCGTACGTTACACTAAATTTCCAACTTGCAACACCATTATCCGTTGAGACAACCAATGTATTGTACGTAATTTGAAAATAATAAACTCATAGATATAAGATAAATTTACTCAACACAATAATATGAAGTTGTAAAATAAGCTATGTACGTATGATTCCTCTATCAGATATAAACATTATTTACATGATCTCAACGTTTTAAGGATAACGGTAGCAGTACATAACGCTGTTGACCACATTTGGCTTGAAACTTTCGTGCTCACTAATTGCAGAGCAGAAAAAGACCTACTAGAGTGTTGTTTACTTTACGTTTTATAACCAACAATAATTTCTAACTACGCTTTACGGATCCGTTCGCACTATTTAAATGAACGAATTTTTAACTTGTTCCAATACGTCCATAAACACTGTATGAGTAAATTATATCAATCATGAAAAACTACTTTTCAAGATGTAAAAAATTTGATTATAAATTATAATGTCAGTTTAAATTAGGATTATTATCATGAAAATTGCAACAACAAAAAATACAAAATATTTCTTTAAACATTAGCCAAGGTAATCTAGTAAAGAGATGAATGATCTGATGCTATTGAAAAATTTCAATAATTTGTATTTAAGTTTCCATTCTTTTATCCATTGGATTATTTTCTGTTTTTCAATTTCTCTTGCTTTAATCACACTTTGAGGATCAGCCGGGTTAGGAGTTCTCAAATCTAAATGATGAGCAGCATCAGAGATATTAATGACTGTAGCGAATGGGACATAACTATTATTTGTAATTGATAATGCTGACCATGGATCAATTTCACCATTGCTAGAAATAAAATAAGAAGAAACATATCCATTAATTTATTAAAGAATTTAAATATTCTATCGTAAACAAATAGACTACTTAATTGAAGCGGAATACAAAAATATTGACATAGTTTTTAACAGTAAGAAAATAGTACATTCAACTTCAAACTGAACGTAGAAAATGTACGTTATGAGGCGTAAAACTTATTAATGAAAAGCTATGATGATGAGGCTCATCAAACTGATTTACGTACATTAGGCTTAAGACAATAAAGGAAGAAGTTTTGAATCAAGTGTCTAGACTAGTGAGATAGTCTTACAATGCAGAAATAAAGTTTTAAGGAGTACACAGAGAATTGACACAGTAATTTAGGCAATTCATCTTCAATAATCTAAACATGGAGTAATGTTTACGTGACACTGTCATATATTCGCGTGCGAAATAGCCAGTTATTACTATCATGTATTGAAAAAAATAGACATACGAACCGCAACCTAGATAATGCAATTACCAAACACATTTTCAAATGATTGCTGACAATAAATAATAACTTACTATGTTGGAAATGTCTTTTTAAGGTAAACAAAAACTTTGGCAGGTTGGAACGGTTAAATGACTAAAAGACAACTACTGACAAAAGATATTAAATTACATGTGAACAACATAAAAACATTGTCTCATGTGTTGAATTAAAGAAATCGTACATACCTGCATACGTATACATAGAAAGATCTATATATTTTTAACATATTTTTAAGCTAACAACACTGAATTGCTGACTGACCGTTTAAGAATTTCAATATTATTAGTCAACTGAGTCTGAACCAAGTAACGTGATAGCAACAAATTTAAATTTTACTTCAATATGACTTGATGTACAAATTTTAATAACAGGTCCATTGGTCTAGGTAAATTTCTAGATTAAATACTGAGATTACTAAATGTATGCCCGGTAAGACTGGATAAAGACATCAACATTATAAGAAACACGTTTGTTGGTGAGTGTTGATGTGAAGCAATCACGAAGCACAGGTTTATGGACTCGACTTTAGCTTATATATTTTGACGAGGGCTAGTGAAGTTAGTGTCTTGCTGAAATGGAAATACCTGGAATACGTTCCAAACTTTTAACCTGGTAGTTTAAATTTAGATGCTTTGTTTATTATAATTAAATTGCTGATCTAATCTTTGCTGTTGTGAAAGTTCCTTCATTTCGTTCCCATGTAAGCGTCATGACTCCAGATAATTCAAATGTTATACCAAATGTTCACTTACAGACAGGTTTTACATGTAAAATTGTTACTAAAAGATTATTTCTGGTTCTATATAAAAAAAGTTAATCTTTAGAAAAAATAACAAAGACGTTTTGTTTGTTACCTGAAAATTATGTTGGTAATAGTATGTACTGATTTACTCCAAAATTCAACTTTTGGCCATTCAACGCGTGGACTTACACCAAATCGATTTTGACAAGAGATTGAGAAAGACTTAAGATCCCAATTTAATGGAGGCATGATGTTTACCGGCCCTGATGCACACATAGGTGTTGTCATCTCCATGCAAGTCTACAAGATAAGATAATAATGCTCATTATAATCTTAGATTTAAAAAATATTATTTCGACAAGAATAGCATTTACAGAAGATTGACCGTCAGCTATAAATAACGTTGGAAATAACACAGATGAGTAACAACCCACTTCACATTATTAAATCCAGAGAGGGGGTTAACAAGGTCAGAAGGGGAGAGAAAATAATATTATTCACTAAAACGGAAGCATGAAAAATATAGTTAGAAGTGAATTCAATTGAGGTATAGATGAGACTATATCACTAAGTCAGATCCTGTGCCATATGAACACTTACAACTTTTGTTTCAGTATTGGACATCCAGGTAAGCTGTGCGTAATTATATATGACACATGTTTCAACCAACTGAGTTGATGAAGGTTTACACAGTGAAGTTCATCAAAACAACATAAGTAGAATGTTTGAGGACAGTCAAGTCAATCTTTCCATTGTGGTATCTAACATTTTTTAATATCCAAACACTGCATACCCATTTAACATTGCTTTGTGCTTTCACTTCAAGTGAAAGACTAGTATTAAAACCTCCTACGTACTTTTTAAACATTACTTATATTTTTAGTATTAAATCATAAACTTTGAGAGAAGTGGAGAACACAATGCTTTTTACTATATCCTGACAAAGACGAAAAGGAAATTAGAAATGTGGAAGTCGAATAATTGAACTTAACTGAATTGCGTAATGTAATTTGTAGAATCTTTGGATAGACAAATGTTTTATGACAATGTTATGTAGCACTTACTGTAAGCCTTCTTTTGATTTTTTCGATGTTAATTAGATTCATTGTTATACAAAAGTAACTTATTTAACTATTAATATGCGAAAAAGCTAAGTTGTATCTTTCTTACAATTTATTCTGTATGTAGTGGAGTTGATTGATTAGATTAGAAAATTATAGGTATAACTAACTGTTGATATACGTACTATGAAATCCAAGTACTTTTGACAAGGAGGATTTAAACAATATAGACTGAATAATTCTCATGCCATGACTATCTTGACTAACTTATTACAGTAAATCTTATCGCTTTATATTCACCTTTTGTTATTGTAATCGGTCGAAATAGTATAACTATTGCATTAATCGTGCATTCAAATATACTTTTTTTCCTAAATGAAATAATAAATCAAAGTTCAATGTAGGCAGAGTAATCAAGTTTTTTAGATGAATCCTAATCTATAGATAACCATATTCAATGAACTATGATTTCAGATAGAATTCAAAGGTAACGACTATCAACATTTATTGTAAGATATAATTATTCTCGTGATTATATACTTATTTAATAATATTCAATATTTGATTTTAATCTGATAAGTTATCGAGTTTTACAAATTCTTGATACGGTAATAAAGTTGAAATTGTTTTATTAGTTCATTTCAAATAAATTAAAATATGGAATAGATAAATTATGGGTTAACAGGAGTGTGAACTCAGTATCCAATTAAAAGTGATTTGACTTTAATAGATTCTAACCAAAATAATATTGACCAACCAATTCTCTATTCTTAACGCTTCTATTGGTAATCAACATTCTAGTAATCATGAGATTTTTAAAAATGAACGAAATGTTTACTGTAGTCAATCTCTCTATATTTTAATGTCAAATAAGGCTTGGATACTGATTAACACTGAAGAAACATTTCATAAAAAAGATAAATGTACTCCTTATGTGAGTTTTTCGATTATCACTGAGCTATTACTAATTGGAAAGTTAACATATGAGTAATCATTAAAAAGTAATTAGATAAGATGTAACACTCGCCCCCAAATGCCTTGGTACGGCCGAGAGTGAGGAGAGTTCGCTCTCCCTCTCGAAATGCTCTCACACGGCCACGCGTATATAGCCTCTGCCAGGGAAGTCCTACTCACTGTCTTCTCGTGGCGGGGGTGTTGTTTACGAAAATGAGAGGATGATAACCGAATGTCCGGCGCTTTAACCGGATCACAAATCAATGGTGCACATGGGCTCCAGTATCCTGCGGGAACAAATGGCGTATGAACCAATTGTTGGTCACCGGCTACCATGGGACTGCATCTCCTTACGATGCTCCACTGCCTTGTGGATCAGACCTTCATGTCGAAGGCTCGGGGAGTGGCCCCCTAAGAAAACCACCTGCTTCGGTTTGGGCACCCAGGCAGTATCGCAGCCCTTACATATATCGAATGAGATTTGTGTGGCGCATATGTATTTGGTGCCTGATTGTAACAATATCTATGTGTTAAAATAAATAAATAAATAAATAAACACTCTCACACGCGAAAATGAAGTATCCTGCATTAAAACAAAGTAAATATTAATGGGACTAACTTGTAAATCCCATCCAGTAGTGTCCAGACTTGGCGAACTCGTTGAAATGTCTAAACACGTTTGATTCCCAGTATAATTTGTCAGTGATAGTATAGCCTTGGCTAATAAAGATATTCTGGTTACCACAGGTTGTTGAGGGTCGTATGCAGATAAATTGGTACACAAATACTGGATTAATGAGGAAAACCCAAGTGAAAAATCTGTTACCAGTGGGAAACGTGGTCATTAAGAGTAGAAGATACGCGTAAGTTTTTAGTATTTGACTACAGACCCCTTAGAAAGGTTTTGATAATGAAAAAAATCAAGTAATAAACTTCAACGTTATATTAGTAGGCCTATTCTTTATGGATTCGCTAAAGTTCTAGTTTGTCGGTATCTATCAGAGGAGAATACGAAGAAACAACATTACTGAAATCCTAGTCAATTAAAAACGTTTTATAAGTAATTAGTGCTTTAGAAATAAACAGTATGACTGGAAACTCAAACAGCTATAGTGAATCATGTTTAACTACGCAGTAAGTATACCTGATTTTTTAAAATTTGTTATTCGAATAATAAAATTATTGTGAAGAATACATCTTATCCGTTAATAATCCTAAAACAAGATAGTACTTTACTTGAGGTCAATTTATGCACACTTGACCATGTAATATAAACTGCTCCAAAATACAATGTGCCATCAGGGCTAAAACTTTAAAACCATGAGATATTGTCTTTTTAACTATTAAAATTTTTTCGTACGATAATTAACAGTAATGGGTTAGATTTTTACGAGGAAATAGATTCTATGTAGTCTTTTAAATTTTATTTCAGAATGACATACAATAGCGGGTTAAACTTATATGCATCTTTTATGGCTTAAATTAGGTTATAACAAAGTGCATAACATAAAATTTTAATTACAACCGATTTTGTTGATCAAATCACTATTCAACTCTGAAGAAAGTCACAGAGAGATGCTATAAGTGTATTTTGATTATATCTTGTACTGACTTTATTACGAAAATTTAATTCACCTTAGCCCCAAATTAACTATCGTAGTACATTTTATGATTTATAACACAAAAAGTTTGGTACATTACACAAAGACGCTAAGAAACATACGATATGAAACAAAATGAAAATATCGTGAACAAATATGAAAGAGGAGATAACACAAATAATCGATATGGGAATAATAGAGTTCAACCAACAGTATAACCAGGATAAATCCCGCATAGTTTGAGTGTCGATAGACATGTATGACACACAATAAATATACCACAAACCTTGACTGGCCATTCAGGTAAAGCAAGCAGAAAGTTGGCTGGGTAAGGATAATTGACCATAGATATCGTTCCCAAAAAATCGGATAAGTAGTCTATGATATTCTGAACATCAGTTAAAGGCGTACAGATGTTAAACATGTGGGTTAATAATTCTTTCCCATCAACTAATAAAAACAAAATAATTGTGAACAGAGAAAAAGAGATTGCTATAGAAACATGTATTTTTAATAAAACTATTAGTCAAATGAAGATACAAAATGAGTTTATTTAATCAACAGAATATCAAAGAGTTGAGACGAGTCCATAAAATCAGTGGCCATCTGTAATCAGTAGCTAAGTGGATAACGCAATGGTGATTGAAGCGAGAGGTACTGGGTTTGAGTCACGGAATGAACATCAACTCTGGGATATAGGTATATCCAGCTGGCTAGTCCCGAACAGCACGAAGTGTGCATCCTGCTTTTCATTGCTAGCCACTATCCATCTTAGCCTAAAATGTATCTAATATAGTTTAGCATGAAATATTAACCAGTTTTTTTATACTCCAAATACATATGGCAAACTAGAAGTGGAATGATAACGCATAAGCGAACATAAGTATTGTGTTACAAGAAGGAAGCACATATGTAGAAAACACTCATTGATTTAATTTAAAACTGATTATTACTTACTTTTTCTTCTAATTTCGTTGGTACTGGTGTGGTGCGTGCTACTTATATTGATATAAGTAGTATATGACGCGAGTTAAAACGGAATGTCTGGCAGCAGAAGATGAGTAGAAGATCAAGAAAGGAAGAGCGAGAACACAATGGAATTTGTAAGAAAACGCGTGAACAACGGAATGGGAGACAATGGATTGGTGTTTGCAACAGAAACAGTCCAGTTTGATATGATGCATTGATATTTTGCAAATTGACGATTTAATATATGGTATTCAGATTTTATTGAGATAGTCTGTAATTTTTGTGCTAAATACATCCGATTGTCCCCACCCGTGTTCTTGTTCACTACACTAGTTACCCTAAGAATACTCGCAATAATATTGTCTTTTCAACTAGCCAGATGACGCTTTAAACGAACCCATTTACCAACAGTAGCGCGTTACTCAGTCTTAAGCCAAAAAGAGAGGGCATCAACAAAGTCTAGATACTTAAGTTCATTTACTATTGAAATACAACCAGTCATGTGCAATGGAGAACCTAGCAAATATGTGTATCGGTTGAAGTTTTCACACCATATTTGTGCAACGAGATAAAATTATAAAGACAAATCTCATAGTAGTAAAAGTAGTAACATCAGTAGTAATAGAAAGAATTGGGTATAGAAAGAGAATAAAAGTACAGAGTGATTTCAAGACTCAGAATATAAGATGAGATAAAAACTGGATGCATTTGGGCTATTGTGAACGATTCTGAGTCAAATCACCCAACGTCTACAATAACTGATCGTGAATGCCGCGTGAACCCCAACCAGGTAGTCTGAACCTGTCCACATAGCTCGGACTATTTATTATTTATTTGGACACATGAAAATTGGTACAGGGGAGCGCCAATATATATGCGCCACACAAAACAATGAAAATTCGAGAGGAATACAAAGAAAGAAAAAAAAAGCTAAGGAGCGCAACAAAAAAAAAGAACAATAACGAAGAGATTGGTGTAAGCTAATGTGCTAGTAATCAGGGAACGCAAAGGTACAATCAGAAGAAATCTTTCAGGTAAGGGAGACACAACCACTTTTTATGAAGAAAGTAAAGGAAGGTTACAGCAGGATCGCCACTGGCTTCTATTCTGAGCCATATCTGATAACGTCTCTAGCCACTGTGTAGCACCATCTCTCAGACCCCAACCAGGGAGTCGTGAAGGACCAACAGAAGCCAGTCCTTTGCAGCTTTCTTTCATGCCACGACACCATGTCGTGCACTGACCACCTCTCCGCTTCTTCCAACCAGTCCCAGAGTCGGCAAATAATGCACGACGTGGAATTCTCTGGGACGACATTCGTAGAACATGTCCAAGCCACCGAAGTCGGTGTTTCAAGATGGTGACACCAATTGCATTATCATCTCTGTGCCCGAACACACGATGCCAAACCTCTGCATTACTGACATGGTGTTGCCACTGAATGTCAGCAATCCTTCGGAAACAGCGATGATCGAACACAGAGAGTCGTCTAACGTCCTCAACTCGGAGAGGCCAGGTTTCACAAGCATAGAGCAAAACTGCTCTCACCGACGCGTTGTAGATCCGGCCTTTTACAGCCAGACTAACATCACGAAGGCGCCAAAGGTGGCCCAGATTGGCATAAGCCGCTCTGGCTTTCACTATTCGTGCATTGATCTCATCACTCACACCCCCACCAGCACTTATGCAGCTACCCAGATACACGAACTTCTCAACTACGTCTATCTGCTCACCGTCCAGGGTGAGTACAGGATTAGAATCCTGCCAGTCTTGTAGAAGTACTTTGCACTTCGAAGGTGCAAAGCACATACCATACCTACGGACATTGATTGCCAACTGATTAAGTGCGGATTGCATGCCTTGGGCATTATCGCACAGTAAGACAATATCGTCCGCATACTCAAGGTCGAGAAGTCTTTCTCCAGGCAACAGATCCACACCACCATTACTTACATTCATCAGAGCTGTTTCCAGAATGTCATCGATGGCAAAGTTGAAGAGGAATGGTGAGATTGGGCAACCCTGCCTAACCCCACTGCTCGAATGGAACAATGGAGAAAGGTGGTTGTATGCCCTCACTCTGCCTGAGGTGTTTTTATACAGGGCTTTTAGAATGTCTACACCTACCAACATGACTCAGTCCACTTGTCAGTGACTTCATGGACTTGTGTCATGTTTTGGTTTGGCCGCCCCTAGCTTTCTTCCAACCTACTACTATACCACTGAACATAGCACGTCGAGGTAGTCGGTCGTTGGGCATACGTAACACGTGTCCCAGCCATCTCAATTACCATTGTGGGGCGTCTTAATGTGTGTCTGTGTTGTAGAACCTGACGTAGTGTGAATATCTGATCTATACAACCACGTCCAGCTCGAAAACCAGCCTGGTTTTCTCTAATCTGCTCTTCACGAGCTTTGATTAGGCGTCGAAGTATTATTGAAGCTAATATTTTAGACACTATATTAGTCAAACTGATTCCTCTGTGATTGTCCCAAGAGGACTTTTGTCCTTTCTTATAGACTGGCACAATCAGTGATTGAGACAAGTCAGATGGGATTACGTCCAGTCCCCAAATTCTACATAAGACCTCGGTTAATCTCATTGCTAATACTAGACCACTATCCTCAAAAATCTCAGGAGTAAACCTGTCAGGGCCTGGTGCTCTCCCTCGTTTCAGATTTCCTATGGCTGTTTCAACTTCGTAAAGGGACGGAGGACCTACATTAACTTGTCATTCAGGTTGACTAGAGATCGTGGGAAACCGAAGTGTGGCTGAAGGCCAGTTGAACTGATCCCTAAAGTGTTCTGCCCATCGATCCAATCTCCTGGATTGTGAATGAATAATATGTCCATCTTTCTCTGAGATTGTTTCGCTAACAGTCGGTTTCCCTAACAATTCTGAACAATTGTCTGCTATTACCTATTGCCGCTGCCTTTTCCATCTCTCTTGCTTTCGCTACCCACCACTGTTCGCGATCATTGCGTAGACTTCTTGTCAGCTTGCGCTTAAGCTGACTCCGCTCTTCATTATGTTCAGAGCCAGGTGGAATGAGTTTCCGAGCATCTATCAGTGCGATAGATGCTGCTAAGATCCAGTGTTGCTCCCTGACCTTCTGGTTTACCTTACTAGCAAATATCACTGCTGTTTCCACAGCTTTTCGGATATCATTCCATGCTGCATCGGGGTGGGCATCACATACATGGCTGCCTAACTGTTTTCCTAGTTGTTCCTGGAATATACTCTTAGCTTGACTATCATTAAGTAGGACCCTAAGAGGTTTCCTTTCAGCGTCTTTCCTACGTCCAGTAAGACGCAAGCAAATACGCGCTCGCACTAGAGCATGATCTGAATCTAGGCATGTACTCCAGAATGAGCGACAGTCTTCTATCGAGCCCCTCCATCGGTGGCTGATAGCGATGTGATCTATTTGGGTCCAACGTTGGGACGAATTAGGGGGTCGCCATGTTAAAAGATGTTTTTCCTTGTGCTTAAAGTTAGTATTTGCAAGGAACAGGCGGTTATCTGAGCATAGCTGCAACAGACGGTAGCCATTATCTGTTCTTTGAGCCACGACACCATAAGATCCACCTAGGTGTCTTTCCCTATCGCTTAGTTTACCTACTTGAGCATTAAAGTCACCGGCCACTGTTACTACATCCGAGCGCTTAGCTTTAAGGAGGAGGTCCGAAAGCTTTCTGTAAAACTCATCTTTTACATCATCTGAGCCGCAGTCAGTGGGAGAATAGGCAGAGACGACGAAGAGGCAACGACGAGTGTCCCTATCTTTCCGGATTCTTACTGTTCCGTTCAGTCGGACAGCGCACAAACGACTGTCTACTGGGATCCACTCTAAGAGAGCTAGTTCTGCCCTAGGACTCAATGCTATACCTACGCCGGCGAGGCCACGGGAAGCAGAATCAGGGCTTCCAGATACACGAAGCGTAAATCGAGTCGGTTCTTTATTTTGGCATGGTGAGGTCAAATGAATGACGCTACTTGGATCCTGTATGCGCGTTTCGGAGACGCAGCACACATCGATGGCGCGAGATTCTAAATTCCTAGCTAAGGAAGCCTGTTGTCCAATTTGGCACAGTGTTCGTACGTTAAAAGCTCCTACATGTAGTTTAGAGCGTGGTTTCAGGAGACCAGGAATAGCGTTCCATGTACTCGAATCGTTTGCCCTAGCGGTGCGAGGTGATAAAGAGACGTGAGGAGGGTTAGTCATGGAGATAAGAAAGGTATTAGGAGGTGTAGGAAGGATTTGAATGTGACCAACTTGGTCTCGTGTGCTGTTACGGGTATGAGGGCTGATGTCACTTCCCGGCTGCCCATACCGTGGAAGGGTATTTCTTGAAGAACCTGAAAAGGAAATTGGATTAGTGTTGGTCTTGACGACCTGGGAGCGTGACCGTAGAGCCCAAGGGACAACTGCTTGAGGCCAGTCGCGCACGGCCTTTTTGTGGAAGGTTTTTGACGTGTTAGCTCCGTTCTTCAAAGGGCCTTACCGCCGGAGACGGAAATCCGTGAGGTAAGGTGAGGTGTGATATTTTTAGGGTCGACCTTTTCTAACCCCCATCCCTCCTTGTGGGAAGGCAGCATCGCTGTCATGCTGGTTGTCCGAGGGAAACACCTTACTGTCGTCACACCTCTCTACAGTCAGCAGTACGACTTCGCCTTCGGACCTTGGGTTTGTTGCTTATAGTCTTACCGCTCTTCAACCGACCTGTCTGACATGGTAGGACCTCGAGGAACGGTTGTTCCAGCCAGTATAGCTCGGTTGCTTCATTACGATAGGCAAGCCCGACCACCAAGTCAAGGTAGCAACAACGCTCGGGGGACAGTGTACCAGTACACACACAAATATCTTGATGATTAATTATGAAGAAACTGTTCTGTTTGCTCTACTTAGTAACCTACGTGAACGGTACGAACATAATGAGTAGAAACAAAGTCCTAATGGCAACTATCCCGAAAAATTGAGTCTCAATTGTTTTGCAGTATGGGTTATGCAGTGATTAAAGAATAAATCTGTACCAAAATTTCACTTTCAGTTTTATTCGCAGCGCATGATCCATAGGAAACCTGTTGTTTTCAACAATCGATGAGGTTAGAGATTCGTTTGTTATCACACACAATCATACTTTAATATCACGAAAGTATAAAGTAGTATTTGCCAGATAACATTTTCAGAGACTACTTCTGTAATAGCAGCTAATGTGATGAAAACACTTCAAACAGTGTTTTCGCATAACATGACCTGAAAATTGTGTAGCAAAAAAACGGAAACGAACGATTTCCATTTAAAATATAACGTATCAACCGGGTGTATGTAACAGTAATGTAGTTTTAGGATAAGGGATCAATAAACGTGTTTCAATCACTATATATATTACATATACATTAAATGTATATTTAATCATAGTAACTGAAAAATGTCCAATAAACAAAGATCATATAAATAAAGATAAATATTAAATGGACGAAAAGGTTAATATAAGTCAGAATTTTAGAAGGCTTAATAACGATTTAATAAATGTCATTTTACCTAGATAACTAGGGAAATATAGACAGCTATAGCCATGAATTTTCCAGAACTACCAAAAAAATGAATTAACGCTTTTTAAACAACCTGAAGGGAAGAGTGAAACAAACCCATTAGCTCTTATCGAAACTGAAAAGGAAACAATTAATTTGGATCGATGAGCAGCGGGACCGTGTAAGCCAACTCTAGAGGTCTTTGAGTATAATAACAATCCAGTTTTAACAGTTAAGTTGATCAAGGTATTAGCTGAAGTCTGGAAACTGAACATATGACCATTTGACTAGCCTCGATCTCTGCTCGTCCTACTCTGCAAAAGTATAGAAATCTCATGACAACCACAAAGGAATCAGCCTAACAAATGTAGTGTCTAAAATAATGACCTCCACAGTTGTTCGACATCTGGTGAAGCTCATAAACGGCAAACCCGAGAAAAAGAAGTCAGTCAAGAACTAGTAGTGAAAATATAGACCAAATCCTGACAATTCGCCAGGTTTTAGGGTATAGAACAACCTCGTTGTCCTGAACTAGTAATGCAACTTGTGTCGTGATCTACGTGGATTATGACTGACTGAGTCGAAGATGCAAGCATATCAAAAAGTGCCTCAAATGTTTACCGACCCAATCTGTCACACAATGAAAAGAAAAAAGTCCAGAACGAAATTTATGATGATATTGAAATACTGTCTTCAGAACTTGAAAAAAATAAATATGCCACTGACAAAGAACTGAAGTCGTACTACTCAAAATATTCAACTAATGACCACACTTAACCCAACACACCCCGGTCGGCAAACTTGCACGACTGAAGTCAACAATTAGTGACTTCGTAAACCAATGCCATGTTTTTGTCTGGTTATTCTTGAATAATATGTAATAAGGTAGAACGCTGTATCATATAGTAGTGACATAAATTATGGGGGATGTATACATCAACTAATAATAAAATCATTTTATTAATTTGCAACAACATTGAATATCATTAGTATTCGTTCACAACTTACTACTTTGACCTATGTCTACAATATTACTCCAGGAAAGTTGTATATTCTTCACACAGTTCTCGCCACCATATTTCAAAAAGCTATTTGTTGCTGACATACTGAAACCATTGCAGTCAGATAATCCGGGAAACAGCCATACTGGTGCAGAAGAAGCTATAGCACTGTAAGTAGAGTAACAAGAAATAAACGGATTATTGTAAATGTAACTTACAATAAAGATACTTTGGTTATGATTGTTAGATAAACAGAAGTGAGTCAGTCTCAAGTACTCACACCAACATAATGAAAGCAGAAAACCAACAAGATGAACTCTTAAAAATATCATTAAACAGAGTAAAAATTTACAGAATGACATGCTAATGATTTGAGAAAAGGTCGAAAAGTGTAGACGGATTCGCAGCACAAGGATAGATTTTGAGATTCATTACACGAGGCTTTGAAATGATAATTTCCTATATCTGGTGGTCCCTGTCCATGAAAACAACCCAACAGTTATACCATCATGTCCACTTTTAACTTTTCTAATTTACACTTACTCCAGTTAACATAACATTCTGGGATCTATGATCCATTAGTATGCGTAACAGAATTTAGCAATTTCAATAAATGTATTTTGATGAATTCATTGGCCGACTGACTATCCGTGCTTAAAACGAAGCGTAACCTTTGTTTGGCTGTCTCTTTGCCTCCATACAAAAATCTCGAACTAACTATTTCCAAAAGTTAGTTGTGTACTAACTGTGTGGATTACCTAGCACTAAAAAAAGACCATGACGAAAAACTTGCAACAGTTCAAGTAGAAAATGTGAATTTCTAAACAATACAAGCTTACGATATTTGTACACATACAGCAATGAAGGTTTAACAAATCCTAAGATAATAAATACCAACTGTCACACTAGAGTCATCCATTTGATCTCATCACGACAAACGGAGTTAGGAAGGCTAATTAGGTTGTTATTTGAAACTCGGCAGATTGTATCAATATTACTACAAGTCAATCTGCGTGAAGAAAATGGGGGAGAGGTGATAACATAGTTATTAATGCTTTGACCTACAAAAGAAACATAAACATGCTATGAACAAAGACAGGATGAAACTACACAGTAAACTTATTAGGAATGTCGCCATGAAAACACCTTACACTATTTTCTCAGCAACGTCTAAAATTTATTGAGCATTTAATAGCAGTTGAATATTGTTTCACAACGATTTGTGATTTCTGAACATACAGATTTTTCGTGTACTTTGGATAGAACGTAAAGTTTTATTCATCCAAAGAATATGACTATAATTGTACTATCAATAAATCAACTGCTCTTATTGTTCAGTGAATGTAATAGATCAATAAAATCAGTTATCCAATCAACAATTACTAGGTATCATATTATTGTTTTGCAGCAACAGCTTATCATAACTGCACCTATTACTTCAATGGTCAAATCTTAGTTATAAACTTACTTCTTAATCATAACAAGTATCACCAATGAGTCATATTTCTCAATGAATTTAAGCACTGAGAGCAAAAATGAATGTATTGGACTGCAAACAACTCTTTATAATAAGTGAAAAACAATCTATCAAAATACACCTTTAACTACCCGGCAATTTGATTAGGGTACTTTTGTCTGATCCAAGCAGAGAGCATACCGCCATAGGATCCTCCGAAAGCGATTACAGGTGATGAAGCAAAGCATGAATAATTAGCTTTTAGTTGATTAATTAGAAGTACATAATCAGCCAACGCTTGTTCTGCAGTTAGGTAACCAAAGTGCTGACGGTCCTTTGGAATTAAAAAAAACATGGTTCTGATATCAACAAATTCCAAGCAAAGTATTGAGAAATTAGTTAGCTCTCGATATATTAAGGGTGTACAGCAAGACATAAGTAAAATCAAGAAGTAAACTGAAGGAATGAAATGTTATAAACAGCTTAGTTTCTAGTAAAAATTGTTTAGCTAGATAGGAACCATTTATGTCACAAATCCATACAGAATTTTAATGTTTAAATACCCCATGAAGGCGCAGAAAGCAAAAACTTGAGAGTAGATCAAGAAGACTGTTTACTAGATTTTGTCAGCCTAAGTCAGCATCCAGACGTTAATTAGGAAAGTCTAAGGCGCAGTGGGTAAATATACAATATTTTAAAAGTAGCTGAAGAGCCTGCAGCTGTAAGTTCTTAAGCCCATAAAACTACTTTACCGTTAAGATATCATGGTAAGTATTCTGAAAAACTGTCAAGATACCACTGAAAAACAACTTTTTGCACAATGATCAAATTTTAAACACACAACTAAATGCAACCATAAGTAAGAGGGTTCTCTAGGAAAATGGCCATGAACAAAGAGTACTATGCGAGATAACAAATGACACATTATTAAAACTCACTTTGAAAGAATTGTTCCCGAATGGGAGAGAGGTTCCGTAATACCGGTGTTCGGCAAAAACAACAGAAGCATTAAGTTCTTGAGAAAGCTTCCAGATAAACCCCTAAATTGTAAAAATTATAGAAGTTAGAGTCATCAAAATTATAGTGCTCAAGCAATTACTGAGTTCTCTGCAAATATTTCTATGGCACCTTCATTTCCTGTGTAAAAAAATATCGGGCCACCCGGAGTGAACGATTCGTTGTTAATTAGATACTTGATAAAGAACTTGTCATCATTCACGAAAGAAAAGTGATCAACCTAAATTATTGAGAATTTTATACTGGTTGTGTGAATAAGTACCCTGGTCCAAAAGTATCTTGTTTCATATGTGAACTCCGGATTCTTGATGGTTGACCACGGAAAGTGTCTAGTTACGAAACCGAACGACAAAGGTAATAAACAATTAAGAATCAAAGCCAGTATCATATTTCAACCTTGTGGAGGTTCGCGTCTAGCCAGAATATACTTTGTATACTAGGGTAGCATACAGTAGCGTAAGGAAGACTAGTAAAGAGAAAAAAGAAAAGGTGGATCGACGATCCAGGAAGCGCACACAAAGCACGTATAGTTAATGACAGTATCAATCTACAACAATCAGAACCAACACCAGACTCAGACTAAGACAATCTCGGAATGGGAATGAGAAGCATATGGCCTAACCCGCTAAAACCTTACATATCACAAACCGCGCTAGAACACAATGAGAGGATAGTCAGCGCATTTCATTCTCTTTCAGTTTTCAATCCTTCTCAGTCATAAACGACAAACACTTTTTAGGATCTGAATCTTAAGTATCATAAGCTGTTAGCATATATAGGAAGTTCAGGACCTCATAGTGACATTTAAACACTCTAAAATGACACAACATCGTTTTGTTAGAGATTTCATTAACTGTTTGTTTCATTCAGTCTGTATCCGATCAGTTATAGAGCAGGATTGGTAAAAAAAGAGTATAATTCCTGTTTTGTTCTTTCCGTGGACCAAAGGATTGGACAATTCGCGTTATTCATAGAATTAAACGACGGGTAAGACTTAGAGAAATTTTTAGTGGCATGTTGATCCAATTCTGATTTGATAACATGACATCAACTCAATGTCACGCGCTGTCTGACTCATCAATGTCTCACCAACACTAAGGTGAATAATATGAGTATGTTTTACTACTAGACACTACATATCCCGGTTGTCAGTTCTATAACTTACTAAATCAAAACTTAGAAGAAATTTGCTAGGATTTTTGCGTCACGCCATACATGTAAGCAAATCATTGATGTGTCCCGTAAGAAGTGTCGAGCGAATTAAAAATTAAATGAGATAATCTGGAAATATATTTACTTAAACCATGTTCACAAGTTGAATTCCGAGGAATAAGAGAATTTCCACATTTAATTACAAGGGGTCTCCAGTAGCTCGAAATCGAAAACAACATCCCCCACCAAACAGATGGTTCGTACTCGCAAAACTCAGCTGATTAGTCCCTCATAAACTTAAAGCCATGAAAGTTGTGTTTATTCACTTGCTTTCGTTATGTGTCATTGATAGGTAATCGTTCCACATGGCTCCGAATAAAGACGAACGTAACTAAACGATATGTAGAGTCATGGTCTACTTCGTTATTGGAACTACTATGATGATAGACCTTATCCTAAAATTGTAGACTTATCATGATATGATTACCTAATCTATAAGATCTTACGTGGAAGTTACATCATCTATTCTGATTCGATTCGTAACAATCCGCGATAAAACGTTTGAAGTTAGTAAAGAACACATTTGGGTTAAGGATAGAATAATATATTTAATGTGAGTAGAGACTAGTTATACAGAATGACTACGTCTACAAGGCTAAGCCATGCCATCTGACTGAATGCATATTCCCGCGTTCACTACTGTTGGCCCTCGCTCCATATCAAATGCTGAATATCCTATTTCTCAGTTATCTTATGTTCAGCTTTGAGTATTGCGTGGTTAGGACCAATACCACTACATATAAACCTCTCAACAAATAGACATTACCTGATGAGCTACTGTACTGCAAGATGAAAATTGCAACCACGATGACACGTATATTTAAATTTTATATTATGTTTGTGATTGAGAGAGACGTTCCTAAGAAAGACATCACAACAAATCTTAGAGTGAGTTTGTCAGGATGCATGTCACTCTGATAAATGCAAAGGTTTATAAGTAGTGCCAACAGACTGGAAAGGGGAATATTTTGACAAGATAAATTAAAAAAGAGATTTTAGTAAGTGTGAGAAATACAGAGACATCACACAGCTATCAGTACCACAAAAATTTTAAAAGTGTGACAAGCCCAAGTGAAACCAACAGGCTGACCTTTGTGAGGATCACTGCTGAACAATCGCTTGAATGGAACCCATGTTGCTGTATAACCTCATTAATTACAGAAATGCACCTGACAGCTATGACAGGAGGACCTTAGTGAGTCTCTTCGACGCTATGGAGCACCCGAGGCAGTCGACACTGTTATACGAGACTCACAGGAGGCAAAGGTATTCAAAGTCATGTATTTGGGTTACTCACAAAAGTGTTCCAGGTGAAGACTATTAACGTATAAGACTTCCTACTCTCATATTCTCTCATTCTTCTCCTTGTGTTCTGGACATTGAAGACCTTCATACCTCAGGAATACAAGATAGATAAACGTTTGGGACATGGCTGGAAAGTCTGGACTTCGCCAGTGACCCAGCTGTTCTGTCCCATACGCAGGAATAAATGCAGACAAAGACTCACAGTGAAGCAACAGCTTCCATAGCACTAAGCCTCTACAGTTGCAGGGAAAATGGAAGGACTTGAAATACGGTAAAACGGACAATAATAAATTCACGCTTGATGGGAAGCTTCGGAAAAGACACAAGTCTTTACATACTTGAGGACATTAATGATAAACAAAGAGGATTTAATGTACATATGAAAGCACGGACTCGCATGTTAAGTTACTATTCCTACCGTTCTAGAATATCTGGAACTCGAAAAACTGTCACACAACACCGAAATCAAAACTTTTGTTCGAAACGTTGGACACTCATGTTTAACGAAGCTGAAGTCAAAACTAACATCGAGAAAGTGAATCTGTTCTTAAAAAGCTATCCACTGAAGATACTGCAGATCAAGAGACTACTTCGTTATCAGTACTGCTCTAATAATGGACTTAATCCTAATATTGTAGATTTGTCAAGTTGTAACTGTCTAATCTATAAGTTCTTACATGGAAGTCCTATCATTGTCTATACTGACTGGTCGTATAGTAACAATTACCAATATATGACATAGAACACATTCAGGTTGGAGATAGAAAAATATGTTGAATATGAGTAAAAGTAAATTGTACAGAGCGACCACTCCTGAGAGGCTGAGCTATGCCACCCGATCGCATCCAATTTGACTCATTCTTCCCGCCCCCATCGTTGGGTTTTTCTCGGCGTTAAATGTTAAACATATTTTTTTCAAGTTGTCTCGTGCTCAGCTTTGAGGATTGTGTGGTTAGCGCTCAATGTCATTACAGATCTACTGACTAGAGACGAACAAGAATAATCTATTGTAGCAGAGAATAAACCAACTGGCAGTTGATTCGGGAATTAAGGAGAGACTCTGAACATAGATAGGGTACATCTCGCGAAACCTTTTAAACTCCATCGTAAGGTGAGAACAACCTCGGAATCCTTAAGGCAAAAGGAAACCATTCAGACCAAGCAATCGAAAGATGACATTCAAAAGAAGAGAGTGGTTCAACGTGCAGCCAATACGTTTCAAAAAGAGTTCATTATTCGGCTATACTTACACCACAATTTGCTCTGTATGGTCACGGATAAGTGAAAGACAAACTTGTGCTAGTTGGGATTATATAAATGCGTAAAACTTTTTCGCCAACATTTCAGCAGCTAATAATCATTTGAGACGTGACCGGGCCTTGTAAACATTGTGCTGGTAAGGTCTAATTATCTGTCATCCGGTTCATGTCTGATGGCGACTTGTATGTGGTATGTGTTGTTTTCATGTGACAGATAATTAGAAGACGGACTCTGAGTTTCCTATTTACAGTGTAATACTGCCAACTTTTCGTGACAGGACATTCATATGGTCTGTGAATTCATTGATGAGGTGGCTGACTAAACTGCCTTCTTACGTTCATGTTTGCATCATATAGACATGACTGGATAATTGAGGATGAAGATGCCACAAGTATTTGGAGTTTGACAACAATTCAACCAGAAACACATTCTATAATTGAATCGTGCCTACCCAGTGAAACCAACAGTCAGAAACGTGGAGGTTAGAAGAATTATTTGATAGGTTATCAAAGCGTCGAGTAGTGACTGGCTAGCTGTTGCAGGATGATCATAGTAAAGATTTAACCGGTTTGTAATTTGTCATCAACAAAATTTGAATTTTCTGTCGCTATCCAGTATCCACTCATTGAAAAAGCCTAATTTTCATACTCTTAATAAGATATCGAGTTGTTACGTTTATGCAGTATTCTAGGTAAGGTCCGTCGTTAGCAAATTAGAAATTTCTCTGCAGATTTGTCAGGTGATTGTCTCACATAAACTAGGAATTGAGGCCTGTGTAAAAAACCTTAGACAAACCATTCACTTATGAGCACTTGTGTTGTTTCTAGGCTTGGGAGTTAATTCTAGGAAGAGTGTGCTCATGCACATCGGACACGGTAGTAGTTACCATTATACTATTGATGGTACATCGCTTCCACGCGTTCAAGAATATAAAGACTCAGGAGTAATAATAAGTCATGACTTGAAAACAACTACGCATTGCAACTCATATGTTGTCAAAGGTTTTCGTGCGTTATGGTCACTTCGCTAAGCAGTCAAATGCTTTCACGTGGAAATGTTTCAAAGTATATATCCCATCTATGTAAGACCACATTTAGAGTACAGTATCCAAGCAGCTAGCCCATGTCTGATAAAGGATACTAACTCAAATGAGAGTGTTCAGCGTGTGGGAACAAAACTAGTGAAGGGTCTTTTTAAACTTCCCTACAATGAACGTTTAGAACGCCGAAAAACCTTTTCTCCCATGTCATATCGTAGGGCGCGAGGTGACCCTATACAGGCATTTCGTATCTTTAATTATGATCTGAGTGTTAATATATCTTGTCTTTTCTCTCTTTCAGCACTAGTAGTCTTTGGGGTCATAGCAAGAAGGTTCACAAAGCGCAATCTCATAAGCTCAAAGTGAGGTCCCGTTTTTCTCATCGAGAAATCAATGACCGTGAAGATGGCACAGGAATCCAGTGTTTGACAACGCTTGTACCAGTAACACCTTCTAATATAACTCATACCCACCAAGAGAAATCAAAAGACAGAATCGAGGAGATCAGAAGTTGTATTTGACGATTGCCAATCTATCGGAATTGTCTGATCAAGTCTGGCTAGCGATTGCAGTAGATGTTGAGCACGGCGTTCCCACACGTGATCTGGTGCGGATGCACGACCGAGCACCTTCAGCTAGGCGAGTCCATTAAAACTAATCTGGTCAGCATCCAATGTCGAAAACCTACAGAGCTATTTATTTTGGGGATTTATTTACCGCTACAACAGGAACGCCATTCTCGAACAAGTAGTATCAGCCCCATCAGCGAATATTTTCAAGGAGAGGCTGGACCCTCACTAGAAGGTAATCTGTCGGGAATAGCACAGGTTCTACAACTTACTATCCTTATAATCGAAGACTTAAGATAGAGGTCTCAGGAGTTGTTCAAGGTCGCCGCGCTCTTATAAACACCTGGGCTCCCGTCACGATATTGTCTTAATTTGAGGTTTGTGTTAGTTCTGATTGTTGTCAACTGGTTTCATTAT